AGATAGATAGATAGATAGATAGATAGATAGATAGATAGATAGATAGACAGACAGACAGACAGATAATACTGGTTGTAATTCCTATCTGGATTGCCCCTTGAGGCTCTCCAAGAAGCTAAGCAGAACTGGATTTGTTAGCATCTGAATATGATTAGAATCCATTAAGAAATGTTTGAACTGTAGCATAAACCAGACAGCACCAGGCTGAATATAAGGGAATTTGCCTATTGCTGTCAAGAAAACTACCTGGACCTGTTCATATGGTTATAGTAAGTGAAACTTGACTGAAGGTAATCTTTATTATTCCCCTTGGAGGCTTCTAATGTGAGGGGCCACATAGGATGGACTTTCTAACACTTGCAATATGAATGTTGAGGCTTACCTGCAACTTCGTCTTTCACGCTAATCCAACTGCACTCTTCTTCATCGTCAAACTGCAGGGGCGTCTCGAGGAGACAGTAGTGAGGAGTTTTCCTCCCATAGAAACTCTCTCCGATTTGAATGACTTCTCCTGATCCACACTGCACAGTGGCATTCGAGTTGTCACAAGCAATGCTGTGGCCTGATTCTGGATAGTAAGGAATAATGAAAACATCTTTATCTTCTTAATGCAGCTTCTCTAATGAGGTACTCTCCAGATAGGTTGGACTTGAATATGTGAATTTCCAAAAGACAGCCAAAGGCAAAATAGCTGGGAATTATGGGAGCTGAATTCCAGAACATCTGGTGAGACAATCTGGGAAAGCTTTCCTTAAGTGCTCCAATGAGGAACAGATAGGGCTACTGAGAAACTAGAAGACATGGTCTGTGCCAGTCTTGTGCTGTTTGGTGGCACAGATTCCCATAGTTATATGGCTACAGTTGACATGGTTAAGAAACACTGGTCCTGGTCAAGGGTCCCCAAACTTGGGAACTTTAAGACTTTTGGACTTCAACTCCCAGAATTCTGGGAAGTCCACAAGTCTTAAAAGTTGCCAAGTTTGGAGACCTCTGGTCTAGGTGGTCATATCTGTGTATTTTAAAGGCATGGGTTTGGGGGTAATTTCTTACCAAATTCACAAATAAAGTCAAACTCCTGGCTACAATTCTCAGTTACTCCCCACTGGTAGTCAGCATTCTTCAGGATATAGCCACAGGACGAGGCAAAGACTGAGGGTGGATCTTGGAACCACTTGGTGTAGGTGAGGTTCGAAGTATCTAGCCAAATCATAGATCCTGCAGGGAAAGAAATCGATATAGCGTATGGATGCACCACACAATATTTTACGGCTACAAAGAGAAGTTGTCCATCAAGATCTCCTTCCTTGGCCACTGACCAACTGGATAGATATCCCTTCAACCAGAGGATCTCTCAGGTTATCCCCCAGAAAGTAGTGGGTGATCAGGTAGCAAACAAGCTAAGTGTTGATCCCCTGGCTTCCATGGCAAAGTTTACTCATTGGGTTGCTGTTTTATGACACAGCACCTTTTTAAGAAAAGAATTTAGCAAGATGATTCAGATGCTCTTCCATCAATCCTTTAATCATTCATGGACCGTAATTGTCACTTAAATATTTTAAACTTGGCATTTTTGCTTTCAAATTTGTAAGTCATCTTAGGTGCTTATGTAAGTAGAAAGGTGGCTCTTGGTGCATTCTGTCAATAATCAGAACATGCCCAGTAAATTGCTTCAAAGGCCATGCCCTCTCCTGCATTTTGGCCACTCATTAATTGGCCAATATTTAAGAAGTCCATAGGCATGGACAGAGGCTGGTGACTTCTTTCTCCCCCACGCCTTATTGCTGATATTTAAGAGTGCTGTTTATTTAAGAGTGCACATTTGAATACAATTTATTGAGGATTGGCATCCTACATAGAAAACATGGAAAGGAGGGAGGGACAGAAGGAAGGAAGGAAGGAAGGAAGGAAGGAAGGAAGGAAGGAAGGAA